CTTGCGGATGGATTGATGAGCTGTTTGCAAATTCAGCCTGGGGTTCAGGTACCAACTCTACATCAGTAGTTTTCCACAAGTGGAGATAGTGCCCCCAGAGACCATTCATTCATAACTGAAAACATTTTTTGTTGCCACACTGGGATGGTGGTGTGCTGGCATGTAGTCCAGCAGGTAGAGATAAGAAATGCTGCAAAACACCCCACTGTGCATGACACAACCACACCCCCCGACATCACCAAGAGTTGTGTGTCTCAAATTTCAATAGTCCTGTTGTTGAGAACCATAGACTAAATACGTAAATAAATGAAAGAGACCCTGGACTATTCTGAAGTTGGAGGCTGTGATTGAAACTGTCTTGAAAGTTACAGTGTTGAAAGGTGAACCCTGACATTATCAAAAATAGCAAAGGCCAGTTTGTCTCAAGTGGAGGTTGATTTACATCCTTCTAGGTGCCTTGAGTTGCTGGTTTAGAAACATAACCACGTGTGCCACAATCTTTTGTGGTCTACTGAGATGGAGTGGAAGATGGACAGCTTCAGGCCTTGCTTGACCATGAAATACCCCAGCTCATGAGCTGCTTAGAAAATCAGTGCACACATAGGTTAGCACATAAACTGTCCAGTTCAGATGATGTAAGCTGTACTGAGAAAAATGTGTTCTCAGGGAGGGAAAAAAAAAACAAAGTGACATGTGAAGAGATAGAAAGGGGCTTGATGCACACAGTGGGCTTCAGTGATTCACACTGAGTCAGGGTGCAGAGCACAGTGTTGTGGCAGCATCTTTCCCCTGTTTGTTTTTATGGAGCACTGTGTGGAGCACTCATCAGCCTTAGAGGTTCATAGATTTCTGTGAATAACAACATTTCTGTGGATTGCAGGTATCACTCCTTTGATCCCAGAATTTCTAAGTCTCTGTGCTCTGGGGCTCCCTCTCCCCTGTCTCCTCAACCTTATCTGTTTGTGGGGCCTGATGCCCAGCATAGTCAGCAGGAGTGGTCCTGAGGTTGAGAGGAAAGGCCCCTTCACCTAGGATAAGGGTGGCTCTGAAAAGAGTCCTCCTCCTTTGCTGCTCTGTTTGGTAACGTGCAACCAAGACTGTAAACTGGGCTTTTGGGAAGGTGGATACTGTCTAGAGGCTTTTAAACAGGTCCTAAGTGTGTGATGTTCTCTTGCCATGAATTATTTGGAGATGAGATTGAGTAAACATCCTAATTTTTCTTCAAGTATCAAGCTAACTTTCATTGTGGTGAAGATATGAATAAACACCAGGATTTTTGTTGAAAATGATAATGGACTTGGAAATCCATTTATAGGAACTGTGATCAACATGGTGTTAACCACAGAGCAATGGTAAGACAGTTTTGTTTTTAAATCTATGACCTTCTCAGTTCACCTTGGCCAAATCACTTAATCCCAGTAACTTCATCTTAGAAGCATTTTCTGATTCTTGACAACTGATTTGATCTATATATTTTTCACACTTAGCCAGAGACACTGCATTTTGATTTAGAAATTGTGACTGGTCTTGTGGTTAACATTCTTAATCAAGCTTTTGTGTCTGTGACAAAATAAAGGTTAACTTTATTGTGGCCCTAAAATGACTTCAGGTATGAATATGAACATAGCAAACAGGCTGAGGTTATAGCTCAGTGATAGAGCACTTGCCTAGCACACATGGGGCACTGGTTTGATCCTCAGCACCACATAAAAATGAATAAATAAAATAAAGGTATTGTGTCCATCTATAGGAGACAATATAGAAAAACAGTATCTCTTATGACATGGAGATGGACAATGATGCATTACAAGGTAATATTAATATTGGATAAGCTAAAAATACCGAGTTTTCTATTGTCATCTCTACTATCCATGAACATGTGCAAAAATTCAGATCAGTCATTTGTTGGCTTGATGTTCCAAGTGTTATCCCATGGTAACTGAACCATCATCAGCAGAGTTTTGTATCCATTGTTTATGTGAAGCCACATGCTTTCTCTGGAACCACACAGGTTGCTCTTTGCATTTAAGAGGATTCTTTGAATAGACCTAGGAAACAATGTAGGAGAACTATATTTTCTTGTACTCTTCTAAACAAAGTGGTATTTGGACAGGGGGCAGAGATTAGTTTCAAATATACCAGAGGGTATGCTAAGACATAATTTGCTTTAATTATTGATTTAAGTTTGCAATTTGTGCCTGTCTTACTAAAAATGACAAAGCATTTAAAATTTTTAAACAGGTAAAATCCATGGCCAACAGTGATGAATATACTATAGGAGCTAGGCCCATAATTAAACATGAGCCAAGGCAAATGTTCTTTTTTGAAGTTAGAATTTGGTTTATGTTAATTTTCTAGAAATATGAAAGGTTAATTTGGAAGGAAAGAATGGAACATTGTTATGAAACTTTCTGAATGCTCCCTATAAATGAAATGTGTACAAATGTCATTCTTGATGCTATTAAATTTAAAATGATGTAATTCAATAAAGGTAGTCATGTTTAAGTCATTGAATTGAGTACCTTAAAAATATATTTTATGATTAAATTATTGTTTTTCTACGATAAATGGAAATATTACTGAAATTAGGGCACTATCTCATTACATTAGCCTATTAATCTTTTATAAATTGGGTGAAAGCAAGTTGGGCATGGGTATTATACAATGATAGGACTGGGAGCAGCTGTGCTGCTCATGGAAGTCCCTGAAATGAAGAACATCCTTCCTCAGTTAGTTACATGCTGTAAACTCCCCAGCAGTAAAAACAGAGCCTCCTTCCTCATCTAGTGACCCCCACCATGACCAGAAACATTTCCACTGTTGAACTTCAGAATTTTCAACACTGAGGATAAGTAGTATTAAATTTTGGATTCAAGGAAAGTAGTCCTGACTTGCAAATATCTAATTAGCAACACTTCTTTTTTTTCCTTTGATCACACTAGAAATATTTAAATTTTCAGAAAGCAGAATGCACAAAGAGAACTTAAATGCTCATGTTTCAGGCTTGACACTGAATTTTTGTCTGTCTCATGAAGAACTTTGAAAGAAGTAAGAATCTTCCGACATGATGTATTGGTAATGTGAATTTTCAAGATTTTCATGTCAAGTAGGGCTAAGCCAGGAGCACAGGTGAGTGCCCTCTACCCCCCCAAGCTGGTAACAGAAGATTGTTAAACCTGGCTAGAGCTGGGTGGCAGTTGGGGCTTCAAGAGCCAGACTGGGATCCTTCAACCACTCCTTCCTCTGCCTCCCCAGGGCTCCCTGTCATATTTAAGCAGCCCACGCTTCCTGCCTGTAACTTAGGGCCACAAAAACTCAGAGCAGACTCCACTCTAAGCCATAAAAAAACAATAAGGCACAGTTAATGGTCCAAAATATGTTATTTCTGCATTCTGTCCCCAAGGGGTCCTCCTAAGTTATTACCTAGAAAGAAACATAAAATCGCACCTAAAGCTGTGTGTTTCATAGAAACAAAGAAATTGAGCTTTTTTTTTTCCCCCTGTACCTCCCTGTAATTTAAGGCAGTGGGTCTTCCTAGCTAGAAATGAGGTTGCTACTCACAGATCAGAGAGGCTGCCCCTCAGTAGCTTGTACCAGTGTGATGTGGACATTTGTATACAGGTGGCTGCAGAATTTGTGGGGCCTGGTGCAAAATGAGCATATGAAACCTCCTGCTAAATATCTTAGGAATTTCAAGACTACAACAGATGTGAATTAACCAAAGGTAGGGAACTTCTGAATAGTTTGCTGGGTGGCTGCAGAGATGGCATGTCTGTGGGGCCAGATCTGCACACGCAGGATGCTCTGAGGAGCAGAAGGACAAGGCCCCTGAGCAGACTCCTGCCTTTGCCTGGCCTCTTCAGACAATGGAGATTGTGAGAAGATGAGGAGAAATTGTGGGGTGGCTTCTGAGGGAAAAGGTGGGGTGGCCAAGGACAGAATCCTCCTTAGTGGTTCTCCTGGTCCTGATGTGCCTGGGGTTGGGTACTGGAGGGCCCAAGAATCAGAATTATTTAATTTATTTAATTATTGGGAGGAACAAAGACTCAAATGTGCAAGAGAATGCTGGTATTGAAGAAGGGATGGACACAAGGCACGGGTTCTAGGCAGGGAATTATCCTCATTGTAATTTCATTGAATCAACTGTGTGTGTGTGTATGTGTGTGTGTGTGTGTGTGTGTGTGTTGCATACATATGAATATATATACATATATTTTATTATTTTTAATGAAGTACAATGCACCAAATTTAGATAAATTATTTTTTTTCTCCTAACCTGCTTCTCCCTTTTCTCCACCTTGGTATTTTTTAATCACTGTCCTTCTCATTTATCAAGACAGAAACAGGGAGTCTTCTTTGACACCTCTCTAATATCCTATCACTTCTACTATCAGTGTCTCTCTTGAGCCTACATAGGCACTTTCCACTGATGTTACCATTTTTCCTGGCCATGACTGACCACAGCCTCTTCAATTCCTCCCTTTTACATTATGCAGCCAGGAATTTGAGTCCTTCTTTTGCCACATGTTAGCTGGGTGACTTCTCTGAACCTCAGTTTCCTCTTCTATAAAATAAGAATAATACTATTTGTCTTAAAGGGTTGTTGTTAGAACTTGAAATGAGAGTAGGGTTTTACCATCATCCCTTGATTTTGCATCCTCAGGCTGTAGTTTAAATATCACTTTTAAAGAAAATTCTTAATGAAAGAGAATTTAATGTTACCACTTGAATTTTGTGCCAAAAATATATTTGTAACCTACATGTATATTAGGACTTCATTTTTCATGTTTCCCTTTGTTTTGTCAGATAATTTTTGCCAACATTGGAAATGTTGGCCTTGTCCAAATCATTGTGTTGAATAGTTAAACAACCCACTTGAATCAAAGTGTGAAATATGATATATCAAGAACTATGTAATGTTTTGAACACCCAACAATAAAAATTTAAAAAAAAAGAATAAACAGATTTTCAGGTATGAGAATGACCTGGCTCTACACCAGACTGTGGAGGCTGACATCAATGGCCTGATAAAGGTGCTGGACAAGCTGACCCTGGCCAGAGTTGACCTGGAGATGCAGATTGAGAACCTGACTGAAGAGCTGGCCTATCTGAAGAAGAACTACAAGGAGGTCAGAAGTTGTTTTATTTCTTCTACACCAAAATTAAAGTTTCAGATTTGCAAATCTGGAGTTAAAACATGGCCTGTTAAAGGGGCCATTTGTTTTTGGATGTGCCTGTGTGTGTCCATTGCTGCTGCTGCTGTTAATAATGGTTTCTACGAAGGTGTAACAAATTAGAGGCACTTTCTGATTTTGTCACTTTCATTATTAGGTAATGAATTAGGTAATAAGAATTTTAATTATCTTGATTTGGTGATTTTGAAAAAATATATATGGTATTTCAAAAGTTAGAAAATAAACAAGTCTACCAGTAATATAAAATGCCATCTACACCACACATGGAACTCTGATGGGCCACGGTGTATAATAGGGGCTGCTGTAGAGAATGGACACTGGCAGGAAATTCATAAAGGAGGCCACTCACACCCTGCAGGCCTGGGCACTGCCTTCAGCCCTCAGGTTGGCAGCTGTAGTGAAATCCCCCAGCAACCTGCATCCCAGGCCTCTCCTTCCTGTACAGACTGTGGACTCTCCAGAAGGAGGGCCAGCTAATCCTTCTGACCCATATAGATTCTGCAGCATATAGATAGGGTCCACAGTCACTTAAAGGGCCAGTGAAAATATCTTAAAATTTTTTAGCATGCTTAAATACATTGCCTTTTTTTGGTTCTAATTAGTTATGTATGAAAGTAGAATGCATTTTGACGCTTAATACGTAAGTTCAGAATAACTTCTCATTTCTCTGATTGTACATGATATAAAGTTACACTGGTTGTGTAATCATATATGCACATGGGGTAATAATGTGTGATTTATTCTCCTATGCTACCTACCCCCATACCCCTCTCCTACTTTCATTGCCCTATGTCTAATCCAAAGTGTCCCTATTCTTCCCTGGACACCTTCCCTTATTGTGAATTAGAATCTACATATCAGAGACAGCATTTGACCTTTGGTTCTTTGGGGTTGGCTTATTTTACTTAGCATAATATTTTCCAGCTCTATATCTATTTACCAGCAAATTCCATCATTTCATTCTTTAAGGCCTAGTAATATTCCATTATGTATATATACCACTGTTCTAGTTGTAAGTTCTTGATGCACTTTGAGTTGAGTTTCTCACAGGGTGAGAAATACGAGTTTAATTTCATTTTGCTAAATATGGATTTCCAGTTTTCCCAGCACCATTGTTGAAGAGGCTATCTTTTTCTCCAATATATGTTTTTGGTGCCTTTGTCTAGTATGAGATAACTGTATTCATGTGGGTTTGTTTCTGTGTCTTTTAGTCTATACCATTGATCTACATGTATGTATTGGTGCCAATACCATGCTGGTTTTGCTTTTATTGCTCTGTAGTATAATGTAAGGTTTATTGATTTTCATATAAACATCATTTTTTTATTATTTTGGTACCAGGGATTGAACTCAGGGGCACTCAACCACTGAGCTACATCCCCAGCCCTATTTTGTATTTTATTTAGAGACAGGGTCTCACTGATTTGTTTAGTGCCTCATCGTTGCTGAGGCTGGCTTTGAACTCACCATCCTCTTGTCTCAGCCTCTGTAGCCTCTGAGATTACAGGTGTGTGCCACGGTGCCCAGCTAAACATCAGTTCTTTAGGGATCCCTTTCCTGCCTTGCTCACTGCTGGCTCCCACAGGGCCCCAGACTGCTCTGCAGCATTCATCACATGAACCTGTCTTCTGTTCTCACACCTGTCTTCTCCACAAGGACAAGTATTCTACCTTGTATCCCTGATGAGGTGCCTGACATGGAGATGGAGTTCCCACTGTTATATGACTGGTATCTTCACACATAGTCAAAGGTTCTTCCCAACTGTAAGTAAGTGAGCAGATGACCACATACATAAATGAATACTAAAGACACCATTCCAGAGAGTCCATTAACCATGCATGCAGGGGTGCTCACTTCATCAGAGCCAATCCCTTTTGTAAGAAACAAATCTTGGTCAGATAATGCCACTCCAGGCAGCCTGACAGAGCCAGGAAGCCAGGTCCCCAGGTCAACATAACAGACCACAAGAGGTATGGAGCACATGTATGGCACTGCTGGGGGCAGGAGGACACCCCAGGGGAAGGAATGAAAATGGTATTTGATGGTCATTGGCTCAGGGTCACCTGAGTGGCTTGTCCTCTGGCCCTGGCAGCTCCCTACCCAGTCTTCCCCATTAAGACAATCTGGGCAAGACATGAGTGATCCAGTGCCCTGTGAAAACCAACACAGGCCTAGGGTCGGAGTGGTTCCTTTTTGTGTGATCTTTGTGAAATAAAATATATATGCAAAATACATACAGTATATCTGTGGGGGCTGACGAATTGCACCATTAATGTGGCTGACACCCACTTCCCAATCAGGACCTGCAGCTTCCCCAGCACCATGGAATCACACACACATTCTTCCTGACCTGCTTGCTCCACCCCTAAGATGGCCTTGGCCCTGGCTTTTGTCATTACCTTGTCCTCACACCCCAAAGAGTAGTTGGTCTCTCCTGGCTTTGAAGGTGTCAAGGATGGGAACATACAGCACATTTTGCTCTTTCCACTCAGTATTTGTGAGTCGTCATCTGGTTGTGTGTAGCCTGTTTACTCACTGTGGCTGCATTAAGTCCTGTGCATTAATCTTCCTTTCTGGATGTGTATCATGATGGGGTCTTTTTTTCCCTGTTTATTCTTTAAGGTTTCCATACCTGTTATTTTTCTATTTATCTGGTTACCCACTTGCCTTAAAAGTAACTTAAAAAAAAAACCTTAAAAATAACTTTAAAGAAAACCCATTACCTTGCCATGTTATTGGTTTGCATTCCACTGCTCACTACTAACTGTTATCTAATACCCCTGCCAAGGTTGGAAACCCAAAATCATATGAGGGACAAGGGTGATTAAATCAAATCATTACCAGCGAAATGCTCTTGATTATGAGTTAAGGCCTATCCAGGGGGCCACAATATCTGATGTAGGAGAAACAGATTCTAATACCATCTTAGAGGCAAATGCCCTGTGAGAAAAACAAGAAGACACGACTATCACAATAAGATTGATACAACAGGAGACACAGCAATATTGGATACAATGAGTTGTATCCAGACACCAGCAATTTCCTCCACCAGAAAGTTCTAGAAAACCACCAACTAAAAAGTTGTCTCTGTGGCAAGGGTGGTGAGGACAGGGCACCTATTGGGAAACACAAATCTCTTTTTTTGTGGGGGCTGGGTACCAGGAACTGAACCCAGGGGCAGTTTACCACTGAGCAACATCCCCAACCATTTTTTATACTTTATTCAGAGACAAGGTCTTGCTGAGTTGCTTAGGGCCTTGATGGTTTGCTGAGGCTGGCTTTGTACTTGCAAAGTTGCCTGCCTCAGCCTCCCCAGCCACTGGGAGTACAGGCGTGTGTACAGTGGCCTCTCCTGCCACATATAGGGCAAGAAGTCTTTGGAAGCCTGCCATCAATTGGGTGATCTTTCTTCTAGTGCCTTCACTTTCTGTAATGATGACAGATGCCTTCAGAGGCTCAAAGGTCCTGTGGGGAGAAAAGGGGGTGGCCTTTAAGAGCTGCAGTCAATAATTGAACTGGTCTCTTGTTCCTCTTTTCTTTTTTCATAGGTCTCTTAAAGTTTCCTCCTGGTTCAATCATAAAAGACCTGGATGGCTACCTTTAAGGGAATTCCCAGGGTCTGCTACCAATTTTGTAATTTATAATATCTGGAGCAAATTGGAGAATAAATTTGTCTTTTGAAATAAGTTGCCCTTCCAGAGATATAGGATCTAAGTTTGTATATTTTACTAATCTTTTCTTCAATCTTTCTACAAAAGCCATGGGATTTCACCTCAACTCCTTATCAATTGATGCCAATGGCATGGAGTAGGTTTCATCCTACTGTTTTTAAGTCCTCCCTTGAGACAAATGATCACATGATCCCTGTGCCACCTTCCAGGAGATTCATCATAATTCCAATGAGGATGCTCAATTGGAATGGCAGAAGGACCCACAGGTATACAGTGTTAGTCATATATTTACATAGATCATCTCCCAAACCTTAGCAGCTTCTGTCTCCTGATGACTCTCTCTGTTTTCTAGAGTTTGACTCAAAATTCCTGTTACATCTCTCTAGATTACTTCAAAAGCCTTGGTCAGATGTGGGAATCCCTCTATATATTCATTAGGGTCATCAGTATACCTTCCTAAATCCTGTTGGAATTGTTTTATATCTTGCATAGAAAAAGGTACCTGCATTCCTACCAGTCCAGATTCTCCATTTGTCTCTTGCAATGGGTGTAACCTGGCAATGGGCTGAATAGGGACAGGATTATGATGAGGGATACCAGTATGGCAGTGAGTGGGAGCAGTACATAATGGTGAGTTCAGAGGAGAGTGGGAGAATTCTATTTTGACATATATATAAAGTATACTGTTGAAAGGAAGGAAGGTGTGGTTTGGGGGGTACTCTAAGCCGGTAATGTTTTGACTCATCATTGCTAGAAAGGCATCATCAGTGCTGTACATAGCACATAAATCTTTTTGATCCCTCAGTAAAAAAGCCTGTATGTAGGGGACTTCTGGCCATTTTCCTTCCTCTCTGCAACATGAGTCTACTAAGGAAAGACTATTGTAGTTCAGACTTCCTAAACATAGTCTGTCAATACCCCAGGAGTCCCTCAGCAGTACTGACAGGCAAGAGAGATGAATGTATGAAGGCGTCCCTCCCATATATTCCATTTTAAACCCAGAACCAGGAGGCATCCCTGTGTGGTTCCTTAAAAATTCTGTGTGTAGAATGCCTGTCCAAATTATATATGTATGTAAGTGTGTATATTTACTTGTGCATCATTTGCTGAACCCTCTGTTGCTGAAGCTGGTAATCTTATTGAAGAAAGATGTTTAATAATGCCTTTATGCCAGCCAGTTGACTTAACTTGGAGAAGTGACTCTTAATCCTTTTGCAGAGAATTTTAAGAGTAAGATGGGCATGATTTTGAAAAGTGGGTGGT